GCTTCCAAATACCCCTCCTCACTCAGGGCTGATCCTGACTCCTGGGTACCTCCTCTCTGCAGGCAGAGGGCTCCTCTTCAGGGCCCTGCAGCCCTCAGGGGCACGTATCCCCAGAGCCAGTAGCACCCAGAGGCCTCCAGCAAGCGCTCCCTGAGAAACGCTTCCATATGCGTCACTGGCATCCCAGAGGCGGTTTTCTCTGGCTAGCCCTGGCCAGGAGCACCTCAGGGACCTGTGTCTGCCAGTGAGGTGGCCCTCAGACTGTGGGTGCCCAGACCACACCTTCCTGGGCTTCAGCTTTAGCCCATGTGTGCCGTAGCTGTCCCACCCCAGGCTGGGCCCCTCTCTCCCTGTAAGGCTGAGTCCTGCTACTAGTTAATACTTCTTTACACTAAACTTAAATTGCTACATGGTTTCTGTCCCCAGACTGGACCCTGACTAATAAACCATATTCTTCATTTTTCAAAATTTTATTTTGCTCTTTCTCAAACATACCTGTTCTGCTGTGCTTTCTTTATATTGCTTCTTTAACCTTTTATTATTTTAAGTTTATTTACTTTCTAGTTTCTTACAGATTTCTTCATTCTCTGAAGCTGTCCTGGGGAAGGGCCATCTCTGCCAACCCAATAAGCTGATCAGGCTCAGTCTGCAGCTTCCCTGTGTGTACAATCTCATACTGGGAGCTCCTCTTCAGAGAAACCATGAGAATGGCTTATGGCAGTATAACTAAACGGTTCTATTTTTGCTTCTTTGGGTGCCTCAGCAGTTTCATCAATCTATAATCAGTTCGGTTTCCAGATTTGAGAGCACTTGCTATGTAGCAGTGTAAATCTGGACTCTGTAACACAAGCTTCTGATAATTTCCACCTGAGACCCCTTCTCCTGTCCAGAGCCTAGGCAGAAAATAATCTTCCTTGTCCTTTTCCTAGGCCTGGGTAGGGTTTTTATTGTGCCTCTTCTCAGCTGGGTCACCCTTCCCAGGCCTGGTATCTGATGAGGTCTCAGCCCCACTCTGGCACCACCTGGCCTGGGCCACAGGGTCAATGTTCCCAATGAACTGTGGGCATGACGATAGGGCCCTGCACTCTAAATGTACTAAGTATCTGAACTTCAAGACACTGACCAAGGACTGCCTATGGGGATGGAAAAAGAAGGAAAGGCCAGGGCTGGGGTGGTCAAGGGGGAAGCAGCCACAGGCGGCAGCTATCACAGCCTGAGTGGACATGGAACTGCGGTGGCACAGGCATAGCCCAATACCCACCTGGCCTGGAGCGAACCCTGCACTGGACAAAGTGAAGTGTAGAGCTCTTTATCTGATAAAAGCTCAGAGACATGAAAAGCCTGATCTTAGATGTTTTTTAGAACTCAAAGCAATAAACATTTATAAAGGTAACAGAACCTGATGCTGAGCAGACTGGAAGGCTGTGTTTGTTTTATTTACCTGATGGAAGCCCAGATAGTCCACAATTGTTGCTGATGCATAAAAGATTGTCCCTTCTGCGCTCACAACCAGAGCGAAGCCGTCGAGAGACTGGAAGAAACACAGACACCGTGTTGACACACCCAAGTAAGAAGTGTGAACTTTCAGCTCTGCCCCCCATTCTTGGCATCCACAAGCTCCAGTGATGCCACATTGGTTTATTTGTTGTCACTAATGATAGATAGCAAGTTGACAGGTGACATGGGATGCTGGTCATGATTTATAAAGCTAAAGACCTGGGCTCTCTGTTTTCTGATAAATATAAAATTATGTTTTATAAAATATAAACCTCACCCTGGCAAGATAATGAGATACCATCAGTACATGAGCAGAACTGGAGCCTTTTCTTTTTCTCTGTAAAGATAGTGGTGCTAGCACCCTTACTCTACATACTATTTTGGAATATTTTTGGCTTTTCTAAAAGCTTTTAACATAAAGCATATTGAACTCCATCAAGTGCTTTTTCCATGCCCACTGAATAATGATATAATTTTTAGTCTACTAATTGATATATTGTTTGATAATGACTCATTCTTGCATTTAAATGGTAAGCTCTAGGTGATCATGTTTATTTATATGTCCTTGAAATTGATTAGTTTCACTTAGGAGCTATTCACCTATGTTTAAAGTAAACTGGCCCATCTTCTCTCTCTGTTTTGGTGTAAGGTACATGTAAACTTCAAAGAACAGGAGGCCCCTTGGTCCTTCTTTCATTTCTGGATCTGCTTATTTAAGGTGAGGATGATGTGGTCCTTGAAGACCATCTAGTTTGGGCACATGTAGGGAAGATAATGGGTAAAAATGGGGTAGATTTTAATGTCCTAACAATTTTTTTAATTGTTAGGGTTATTCAAGTGTTTCATTTTTGTCTAATATCAACTATGGCATCCTAAAGTATTTTCTAGAAATGTATCTATTTCATCTTGATTTTAAATTTATTAGTGTATGTTATTCATGATATTTTTACGATTACTAAAGCTTAGTTACATCTGTAATTATTGTGAGATTTTGGGGGTAAGACATGGCTATGTTGTCTTGACTCAAAGTCTTCCTTTATTTGGCAACCAAACTTTACAGTCCTGGGTCTGGCAACTCCCAGACATCACAGTGAAGACACTGAGAGACTAGAGACACATGATCATGCAGTCCAGGAGTGTCCTATTGCCCAACACCACCACCAGGAGATAGCAGTGGCAGGTGGCAAAGAGTAGACCTCCAGCCATAGCTCTGGGGGCATCTCGCTCAGTCTCACGTCGCCCTGTGTGGCAGGAGTGGCTGTGAGTTTACTCAGCTGGTACCGAAGCTGGGGTGAGGGGCTAAACTGCCCAGACAGTAGTGCCTAAGTCATTCAATGTGTATCTTTGAAACAGACATTTAGAGGCTTTCAAGTGTCTTCTATAAAGTCTGCAGCTATTAGCAAAGGGTCATAATCCTCATCTCCCTTAAATCTGGATCATGCAAGGTACTTTTCCCCTCTTTATTCTTTTTAAAAAATATTTGCTAATTCGAAAAGAGATAAATTATTTTACCACTATAGTTTGCATTTCTTTAATTACTAATGAGATTGAAAAGCATTTCATATATTCACTGTAACTTATACTTCTTCTTTGGTAAACTGCTTATGAATGCTATGTACTTATTTTTTTACTAGGGTTTATATATGTGAATTTCTACAAACTTTTAAAATACTGGTATTGAAGACGTCTAAGCAGTCAAAGACAATCATAGTTACCTGAATTCAAATCCCCTCCACAGTCAAAAAAGTGAGGGGAAACAGTCAGAACAAATAAAATTATACAAACCCATGCCTTCATCACTATGAGAAAACAGAAAGTGTGATAAATTCCAAATTATAAATAGGCCAAATGGAGCCAAAATGTTGGCTCAATTCATAATTGCCAAGTCGTGGAAGCAACCTAAGTGCCCATCAACCCATGAATGGATCAACAAACTGTAGTATATGTACACCATGGAATATTATGCAGCAATTAAAAAAGATGGAGACTTTATATCTTTTACATTTAGCTGGATGTAGTTGAAATACATTCTTCTTAGTAAAGTATCCCAAGAATAGAAACATGAATATCCAGTGTACTCCATACTAATATGAAATCAATATATAAACAATTACATGTTCCTAAGAACAATAAAACACTAATATAGTCCAGTTTGGGGGTACAGGGAAGTGGGAGGGGGCAGGGGAGAAGACGTATGGCAGAGGAAGGGAGGTCAAAAGGCAGGATCTCACCTAATGTGCACATTGTGAGGATATATAACACGTCCCCTGGGTGGGAGCTCTTCTACAAATGGAACTTTGCCCTGGAAGTGAGAACAATGTAACCTAAATATTGTACCCTCCTATTAATTTGAATAAAGTTTGAAAAAAAAGGAAAATGTTTGAAAAACCCTTCTAGGTATTGGCCTAGGCAATGAATTTATGAAGACAACCCCAGTGGCAATCATAGCAACAACAAAATAAATGTGACTTGATTAAATTAAAAAGCTGCTTCTGGACAGCTAAGGAAATAATCAACTGAGCAGATAAGACAACGTATAGAATGGGAGAAAATATTAGTAAGCTATACATCTGAGAGAGGGCTAATAGTGAGAAATCTACAAAGAACTCAAGTAAATCAGTAAGAAAAAAACAAACAACCTCATTACAAACTGGGCTAAAGACATGAATAGAAGCTTTTCAAAAGAAGTTAGACAAATGGCTAATAAATGTATGAGAAAATTCTCAATATCACTAATCAGTATGGAAATGCAAGTTAAAACCACAATGAGATATCACCTTACCCCAGTTGGGATGGCTTTTACTAAAAAATTCAAAAACAAGAGATGGTGGCATGAATGCAGAGAGAAAGGAACAGTTATACACTGTTGGTGGGACTGCAAATTAGTATAACCTCTATGGAAAACAGTCTAGAGATTACTCAAAGAACTAAAAGTAAACCCTGCTATTAGATCCAGCAATCCCACTATTGGGTCTTTACCCAAAGGAAAAGAAGTCATTTTTATCAAAAAGACACTGGTACATGAATATTTATTGCAGCACAATTCTATTTGCAAAGATGTGGAATCAACTTTAAGTGCCCATCAATTTTGAGTGGCCCTCATCCTAACCCTAACTCAGTCACAAAGAAGGATGTATTAAAGACTTTTGCAACAAGTTGGATGGAACTGGAGACCCTTATCCTAAGTGAAGTTTCTAAAGATCAGAAAAACTACCACCACATATACTTGCTATTAAACTGGAACTCACTGCCGAGCACACATGTGCACATAAGGAAGTAAAATTCAGCATAAATCAAGCAGAGGAAAGAAATGGAGAAGGTGGATGAAAATCTACCTAACAGATACAATCAACATTATCTGGGTGATGGGTCCACTTATAACCCTGATTCCAGCATAACAAATGTAATCTAAAACATTTGTACCCTGTGATATTTTGAAAGAAAAAAAAAGAAGTCTAATGTAAGAAAGAAGGAAAAAATAAAAACATGAAAAATCAATGAAAATGGTTTAGAACAAATGAAAGAGATCAACAAATACAAAATTTGATTCTTAGAAAATATTAGTGAAACTGATAATCTGCTAGCAAGATTCGCCAGAAATAAACAAATTATTTACAACAGGAATTTAAAAGGATACATAATTACAGATCCCACAAATATTAAAAGGATGACATTTAATAAATTAAACAATTTAAATAAAACAGGCGATTCCCTGAAATACACAAACTAACAAAAGTGATATAAGAACTAGAAAATATATATAGGCTAATATCTAATAAATGATTTTTTTTCTTTTTTTCTTTTTCTTTTCTTTCTTTTGTTTGAAATAGAGTCTCACCCTGTGTCCCAAATTGAAGGGCAGTGGTGTCAAACTCCTGGACTCAAGCAATCCTCCTGCTCCAGCTCCCTAAGTAGCTAAGACCACAGGCATGTGCCACCACAGCTGGCCAATTTTTGTATTGTTTGTAGAGATGTGGTCCTGCTATGTTGCTCAGATTCATCTTGAATTCTTGGCTTCAAGCAGTCCTCCTGATTCAGCTCCCCAAAGTGCTGGGATTATAGGCATGAGCTACTACACCAGGCCCCAATTGAATTTCTAATGAAAACTCTCCCACAAAGAAAACTCCAGACCCAGATAAAAAAAAAAACATAAAATACCTAGGAATAAATCTAATAAAAGATGTGCAAGACCTGAATATAGAAAACTATGAAACATCACTAAGACAGAACGTGAACTAAGAGACACAATGTTCCTGGTTTGAAAGACTTGACACAGTCAGTCCAGTCACCCCATATGATCCATAGACATAACGCAATCCTAACTTAATCACGGTAAGATTTTTCTTTTTGTAGAAATTGATGAGCTAACACGATAAGAGAAAATTTACCTAACAAATGCAACAGTGTAACCTAATTCTTTGTACCCTCAATGAATCCTAAACAATAAAAAAAAAAGTTGACAAGTTAATTCTAAAATTTATATCAAAATGTAGAAGACACAGTCTTGCTAAAGAACAAAATTATAGAACTTATACCAAACGACTTCATAACTTGCTATGAAGGTGACCAAGACAAGGTGGTAGTGATGTCAGGATGGACAAACTGACATCCAATCAGGGCAGCAGGTCAGTCCAGTGGGGAAAGGAAAGTCTGAAACAACACAGCTGGGACAGCTGGTTATTTGTGTGGATAAAACCCTGACTTCTACCTCATTCTACACAAAAAATTAATTCAAGGTATATAATTGACCTAAACATAAAACCCAAACCACAACATTTCTAGAAGAAAACCCAAGGAAATATCTCCACAAGTTTGGGCTAGGTAGATTTGGATGATACAAAAACACTAATCATTTAAAAAAAAAACTTGATAAATTGAACTCCATTTAAAAATACCAGTAGAGGCCAGGCAAGGTGGCTCATGCACTGTGGCTCATGCCTGAAATCTTAGTACTCTAGGAGGTTAGGGCAGGAGGATCACTTGAGGTCAGGAGTTTGAGGTGGCAGTGAGCCATGATGATGTCACTGTACTCCA